CATCCCAGACCAGACCTAATGCGCCCCGCCCCCGCGCTTGCCCGGGAGCGCCCGCGCGCTTCGCTTATGAGTTTGAGGGGTTTTGAGGAGTCTCGCGTGAGCGACGGATAGCTGCCCACTTTGGCGGGGAGCATCGCACAGAGCACCCTCCAGGGAGTTGGAGAGACAGGGGCAGAGAGAGAAGAGAGCGACAAACAGAGAGAGGTAGAGGGGAGGTACTAGGAGGGGGTATAGCGTGGGATGCAATTAGGGAGGGGTCGATGAGGCTCCCATCGCTCGGTCGCGCCTCGCCTCGCCACTCCGTACGCCTCGCTCCCGTTTCAAAAGACGGAACACCCCGCCGCCGGGTCGAGTATAACGAACGCCATTGTCGCGATGGCGACTGGGTCCGCCGCCGCTCAAATTTATTAGAGACTGGAACGCAAACTTTTTCTCGTGTCCATCAAAATTTCTTATATTTCAGTGTGTCGGGCGACCGGGCTTAGAAACACAAAAACGACCAGGAGGAAAAAGGGTGGCGAATGAGTGCGCCAGATTTTGTAAACAGCCAGATATATATATTTTTTAATCTTCATCGTTCAAATGACTTCGGGGTCTTTGCGCCTCGTATTCAGAAGTGAACGTGCACCTCTCTCTCTCTATGGACCGCGCTGCAACCGTACCGCCCGCGCGGCGGCGGCGGCATGGCGGCAGAGCGATTTATTACCTTTGGGTCCTTGGGGCTGTATTCATGCGTAAAAACAACACCCCGCTTGTCTCATGCAACAACATGCCCTCCGGCAGCCCCGGCCCCCTCGCCATTGGTACAGTGCGGTGGTGCGGTACTGTACGCCCGCCCATAGGGCTTTCGGGAATTCATGAATTTCAAGCGAGAAAAAAAATAATGCCAAAAGGCAGCAGCAACATCGCTGTTGTGCCACCGCCCCGGCCCCCGTCATGGCGCCAAGGCTCGGGGGGCCGGGGGCGGGCCGGGGGCGGGCCGAGGGGGCGCCGATATATACTGCGGCGCATTAGGGATGCTGGTCCTTGCCGCCCCCCTCCCTCTCCTCGGCCTGGAGAGGAGGAGTGATGCGCGGGTATTTGGGTCGCCATGGCACCGGTCGGTCGGCTGCCCCCTGCGCCGCCCCTGCTGCCAAGCTCTTCACGATTCTCCCGCGTCCTTACCCCCAACCCCTTCATGCTGCCTGGAGATGATCGCGACCCTCGTCTTCTTCTTTCTTGTCCTTGGCAGGTACCGCTGGTTCAGCGCCGAGGACGTGGACATCCTGCAGCAGTCGCTCGGCATCATGTTCGACCTGGGCTACTACTGGGACGACGACTACATGCAGTGCGTCCTCGGCGTCCTCATCGACAACATTGAGACGCAGACGTAAGCGTAATCCTAGCAAGCACCGAAAATCCCCGAGTCAGGATTTCCTACTCTCTCGAGATCTAGAACTTTTTATCTGGCGTATGCATTTTTATTACGCGTTACATGGATCGGATTCTTAAACAAATTAAGTCCTTAAGAAAACAAATATTACTCACGTAGTGCGACCCTCGCCTTTATTGGGCGATGAAGAAAAAGTCTCTCTCGTTTTGGGGTAGGAATATCCTGACTCAAGGGTTGGGGTAGCGGTGCATCGTGGACGGCCCTTGTTCGTATAACGGCACAGATTGCCGGTGCTAACTGCCCTCGTTTGTCTCGCCTGCAGCTACGGCCATGACTACACGGCGTGCAGGAAGTTCCGCGGTTTGTCCTACGAGCGCCAGTACAACAACGAGGTCGGCAACGCTCGGAACGCGTACGCCCTGGACGTAAGTTTGCGTCGTCGTTTTTATTGTTTCGTAAAAAACTTTTTTTTGTAATTATCGCAAACCGTACATGGCAAACAATTTAGTTTGTGCGCTAAATTTCTTTTTGAACATGGGAGCCTGACCTTCTTGTTAAATGTCACAGGACTCGGCGGGCGAGGCCACCATCCGCTTCACTCCGCCCGACGGCGTGTACGCGGACGAGGTGTACTACCCGCAGGCCGGCAGCCAGCCGGACAAGCTGGATCGTAAGTACAGCAGCAGTCCACCCCTTGGCGAGAGATAATTGGGCCTCACATACCTCCTCGAGAACAAATACCGAGAAGGAAGTTGCTGTGCTACTCAGGGCCATGAGAAAACAACGCTTGTTTGTTCGAACAACATAGCACACAACAGCGAGAAAAAATCAGCATATAAGTTATCATCTGTAGAAAGATATTTATTTCGTTATCGTTACATTAAAAATAAAAAGAGTTCGTTCCAACAAAATCATTCAATCTCATTAATCTGAATGTTTGCGATGACTATGAAGCACCAACTTTGTTTTTGCCCCTCGTGCTCAAGTGCGTTGTGCATGTCCGCAGTGCTGACCATGGCCATCTCGGACGAGCTGCGGCAGCGCGGCCAGCTGCAGGGCGACGACAGGCCCAAGCCCAAGCCTATGGACCTGCTCAACAACAAGCGGGCCGACTACCCGGCCGGCTGGAAGCAGAAGAAGAGCAACAAGGCTGGCACACGGTGAGTCTTGCGTCTTGTCTCTGATTAGCTAGCTAAACCACTAACTAAATGAGTTTTTATTTGGGGTTCCCGTTGCGATGGTTAACGTCTGCTTCGAATAAACTCGAGTCCTTCTCCGAGTTATGTAGACGGTAAGGGTAAGGGGGCCACAGTGGCAACGCGGTTTGGTGGGAGGGTGGGCTTCCAGCCTGTTCCAAATCCCTGCATGTCGCCCGCTGACGCTGACGGGCGCTGACGTCCGGTCCAGCAGTAGCAGCAGCAGACGGTGCTGTCTACACATCTCGTTTCCCCGCTCGGTCCCGCGGGGGCTTTGGGTGGCACGTATCCTCTCCCGCCCCCTTTCTGTCTATCCCTCTTATATTTTCCTCATCCCTCACTCTTTCCCACCGACTTTCTCTCTCTCTCTCTCGCCCACTCCAATCTGCCCCCTCCCGCCGCCCCTTTGCCGCCGCCGTGCGCTTAGAAGGAGACACTTCATCTTTGCAACGCCACGTCTCGGCGTAACTCCATTTCATCTTCCTTCGCTCTGTGTGTGTATGGGTGTGCGCGCGCGCGCGCGCGCACCTCTCTCTTTCTCCGTACCCCTTTTTCCATCTTTTCCGCCCCCCCCCCCCAGCAAGCGAGCAAGCAGGCCTATGGATATGGCGGGACAGGACTGCTGTAAAGGTCAGACCCAAGTCAGGAACGCCACACAACACGACTTGCGCTTGCAATTTCGCCCCCTTTGGGCGATGAGGAGGAGGAGGAGGGAGGGTTGGTGGGTGAGCTGTGGGCGATGTTTGGTGGCCGCGCCTCGCCCTGCCACTCGACACGGCGTTAATGAGAGTGGTTTAGTGCCAGCCAGGGCGGGCTGGGCGAGCTGCACAATCTGCCCGGGGCTCCAACAAGTGGTGTGGCGCTTGCGCAACTGCGCACCACCACCACTTCCACCGTCACCACCGCCACCCCACTAGGCCCAACCCCCGGGCCGGGCCCCGCCAGCGCCACCTGCCGGCAGCGCGGGGAGGCACGTAGGCACCCCTCAGCCAGCCAGCCGGGCCCGACCCGACGACGACGCGCATGGAAATGGCGGGCGGAGCTGGCTGAAAGCCCCCTTGAAGTAGAAGTTGTGCGAGCGTGCGAGCGAGATGAGGCTGCTTTAGAAGTTTGGCGTTGTGCGTCAGGCAGTTAGTCGGGCGGGGTTGGGGCGCGGGGCACGCCGTCTCTCTCGCACTGCTGCTCGCATTGTACTGGAAAGGAAACATACGCCTGAATGGGGTTACCGGGAAAATGAAAAGGTCGTCAAGCTAATGAGCACACAAATCGATGCGATTGAGCTCTTACTAGACTTGTTAGGTTTGGGATCACTAGAAAGTACGTTCGACATTCACCGTATAATGGGACTGCCAATTTCGGCCTCTTCTGCAAGCTCTCATGGCGCCTGGTGGGTAGGCAATATCTAGCCTGCAGTGCATGCGTGTTCTGCGGGGTGGCCTATCCCGAGTCTCGCAGGCGCTGAGACTCCAGATAGTGCTGAATTAATCTGTGAAAAAGATAAAACACGGACGAACTTTCTGAACGATCCCTTTGACTGCGTTAGTAAATAAGGAGCGTAAATTGTAAATCATTAAACGGAGACACTTTCATAAACTTTGCTGACATATTTTTTTGTTCTTTTTTGGGCACTGCGCAGGGCCATGCGTAAGTTGATGATGGACACCGTGAGCATGGACGACGGTTCGCTGCCTTTCTTGGAGCGGCGCCAGGACGTGCGCATGGCACTGCGGCCGGAGGAGGAGGAGGCGGAGGACTCGAGCCTCGCCGACCTGGCCATGATGTACATGGCGGCGGAGGAGCGGCGCGCCGCCCTGGCGCAGGCCGAGGCCGAGGACGCCGCCGAGGCCGAGGCTGTCGCCGCCGGCCCCGGATCCGGCCCTCTGCGCATGTTCTCGGCCCACTACAACACGCCCACCTCGTTCCGCCAAGGGCTCGAGTACCGCGTGCCCGGCGACGGATTCGACGGCGAGACCGGGATGCTCCCCGTCGACGTGCCCCGGGTGGTGGAGGCCGGCGACGAGCCGCTGGTCCTGGAGGACGTGTGGGAGACGCAGGAGAGGCCCGCCGGCCCGTGGCCGGGGCCGTGGCCGCTCGAGCAGGGACCGCAGGGCCCCGGACCGCGCGGCTTCAGCAAGCTGTACAACACCCCGGACATGTTCCGCGCCGGCCTCGAGACCAAGGACGTGGAGCCGGGCCTCGCCAGCCTCGTCGAGGAGCAGGAGGCCGAGCCTGAGGTGTGGATGGACACCGACACCGAGCCCAGGGGAGTGGAGTACGAAAGGTGCGTAGCAAATGTTGCCCCATCCGTGCTGACTGCTCTGAATGTGTTCACCGTGCTGACTCTGACCTCCGCCACCACAGCGTGCCCGGCGGGGCCGTGTTCATCCGCCCCAACCGCCGCGGCTCGCCCGACGAGGAGGTCTCGCAGGGGCAGCCCGAGCAGGAGGAGCAGCTGGTGCAGCAGAGCGGCGCTCAGCAGCAGCCCCAGCAGCCGGCGCCGCAGCCGCCCCAGCCGCAGCCGGCGCCGCCGCAGCAGACCGCCGAGCGCGCCGAGGAGGCGGAGCAGGCCATGAAGGAGTTCTCGCACATGCTGGACGCGTTCGCGGCCGAGGGCAAGGAGGACAGCGTGCCGGACGAGATCCAGGCCGAGGAGGACGAGGTGGACCGCGCCGAGACGGCGGCCGGCACGGGCGCCAGCATGGGCCGCGCCTACACGGAGGGCGGGCTCGTCTTCCTGCCCGACCAGCAGACAGGTGAGGCTCCGCGCTCCTCGATGTGCCCCGTCCTCGTGGCCGACGAGAGCCGCGCCGCCGCGTTATCAGTGCAGCTGATTACTGCCGCAGTGAGCGCGCGCGGCGCAAGCTCGGCACTCTTTGCTTGTGCTCGTTATCTAACCTCCCACCCGCCGCGCCACGCTTACACTTGATGCTCGTGTGTATGGCGCACCACAGACCGACCCGAGACGCTGGACGGCCGCAGTTTGGACGCGCTGCTCAAGGAATGGCGCGGCTTTGAGCGCCGCGAGCGGCTGGACGTCAAGAAGCCCGGCCCCAGCTACAACGTCAACAACTTCTTCTTCCAGCGGGTGAGTGTCTCGGCCCTTATAGGGATGGAGGTGATTTTGCGTGCCTGTTGTCCTATTGCACTCGCCCTCTTCAATTGGTGATTCTTCGACTTCCAGGATCATGAAGAGAAGCGAGCGGGCCGCAAGTCGGCGGTGGAGACCAACGAGATAAAGGGTTCGTACCTCAGTGCCGTGGCGGCCG